TACTCAGCCATAAAGAGTGACAAACTAGAGACATTTATAGCTAAATGGATGCATATTGAGGCCATACACTTAAGTGAAATAAACAGGACACACATGTGTAAATACCGAATAGTTTCTCTAGTGTGAGAAACTAAAAGTGTTAATAAGGATTAAAATGATTAAAACAAGTAATTGATAATTTAAAATAGGAAGATAAGGTCCAAAGGGTAGGAGAAGTGGGAGGGGAAGGGGAAAGGAAAAATTATGAGAAAAGGAAAAATGGAAACAAAGTCTTTGTAAATAGGGAAGAGCAGAGGTGGTGAAGGGAGGACAGGGAATGGGGACAAAATAAGAACCAAGATACATCATGTAGAGGTACAAGTACCCAATGATAAATGTAAATATATTGTATACTTAAAATGTACCAAGAAAAGAATTTAAGGAAAAAAAAGAATCAAGTGCTTATGAATTTTTAAAATATGATTCCATTTATATTAAGTTCAATAGTGGGAAAGATAATTAACATATATGAAGATGAAGTAAGCAAAAACTATAAGGAAATGCAGCAAACAGTGAATATAAAATTTAGGATAATATTACCACTGGCTGGAAGGAAGAAAGAAAGCAGTAAGGAAAGGGGCACACAGTGTGGTTAGGCGCCAGGTAATATTCTATTTTTCAGTCTGAGATGTTTATTATATTGTTTAAAATGCATAAGTACATACATTTTAAGCACTATTTTGCTTCTATATTATATTTCATATCCACAAAAACTACTTTCCTCTAAAGAAATATAAATTACGTTTTCATCTAAGGATCCAAAAAAAAGAAATATTTTGTAATTTACAGCCACCAACTGAAAGACACATCTAATAATTATTGCAAATCTATCTCATTCAAAGTTTAAACAATAAATTCTTGTATTTATACTACCAAAAACCTCCACTGTAGATAGTCTGGATAAATCCAAAACTGAAAAGGCATGCATGTTTCTTCCATGAGCTTCCGTCAGGTCCTAGATGGAAGGCCCTAGACGGAAGGGGAGATCAGAACCTCCTTGAACTGCTCACCTGATACTTTGGTCATAACTCCTACTTAGGAGAAAGTTTTCCTTCTCGCATAAGAAGAGGGCCCGGATACTCCCAACATGGCCTCAAAACACGATGGGTAACTCCTTGACTTGAGGGATGTCCAGAAGCTGGATCTTCCGATTAGATGACACAGCTACCAAATCTCCCCCAGAAAAATGGATGACTCTGTTTTGGTCCCACCTGTGTTTCAGGGTTGTGGGGGGAGGTTAGATAGTGCATGAAGGAAGAGTTAGTGTCCTTCTTGGACCTTACTAAGCACTCTAACTTTTCCCTATAGCAGTGATAAAATAGAAAATTCAGAGCCTTTCAACAAGCAGAAGGCAAGGCCGAGTACTAATGGGCCCTGATAGATCCTACCTCTCACCATCATAAAATCTATTACTGGTAGATTTAAAATCTAAAGACATAGGTAAAGTTATAAAATATAAACATAAAAATATTTTGTGAGTGTGTACCAACTCCCCAAGAGAAAGAATAGAATATGTGATATTTCCCAGATTTAAAATCTTTTCTCAGGGAAAACCTCAAAGAACCCCAATTATGTGCTGCACTTCTTTTTTCTTTCCCTCTCTCTTTCTCTTTCTTTTCTTTCTTTCATTTATTTTCTTAACCAATATCCAAGGAACATTTATTAGGTTTAAAGTTCTATGCTAGTGGGAACTATGGGAAATACAAAGATTAATAAAATACAAACCTTGCTCTCAATAAGCTTAGAGCAAATAAAGCCAGATGAGTTTAATTACTAGCAAATAGATGACTAAATAAGACATTTTTTATTGCAAAAGGGGATGCTATATTTTAAGTATACTAGAACTACAGAGAAAAGTGGATTATTCCAATAAATTAGAACCTATAATCACTAAATATGAGGGTAAATTTTTGGCATTTTTCTCTTAATTTCATCTTTCATGTTTAGGGTTCAACCAACTAAAGAGCAATTATTACCACACTATCCATAAAAACTCTGCCTTTCCATACTAACTGGCCTATTTCCAAGATGCAATTTGTTAATAAGATTTGTGGCCAAAAACAATGTAGAGGTGCCCTCCACAAAACCTTGTGACTAAAGAGTGAAGGCCTAGGCCTGAAGTATGACAGAAAGTTGATTATTAAAGAGCTTTCTTGTGGTATAGCCACATGATGTCACACAATCAATCATCATAAATGTAATTTTCGTATTTAACATGCAAAGATATTCACAGTGCTTTGCTGGACTCAGTTACAAAATATGTAACATAAACCCATTTCTATTTAAAATATGTATTATGTATGAAAGAAAAATTCTAGAGGACAGACATGAGTATTAGTGGTAGTTATTTCTGGTTGACAAAATTATAGAAGATCTTTGCTTTTCTCTACACATCTTCTGTCACGTGGAGGGTTTTTTTCAAACAAGCATACTCCCAAATTGGGATAAGACAAAAAATCTTTAAAAAGAAAGATTTTTATGCACATTGCACGTGCAAAATGTTGTGGTCAGTATATTCAAAATGTATACAGGTAAAATGTCCTTTCCTAATAGCTGAGAATGGTGCAAGATCCAAAGGGGAACTAGGGTTAGTTCTGGGCTGAATCTAGAGGTGAGGTGTTGTCTTTCCAAGTCAACAGGGGTCAGGAGACCCTTAACATGCCAGTGTGAGTATTATTTGAAGGTTCCCAAAGACCTAGATTTGACCCCAGTACTTACATATCAGAGAGAATGAGGATATTGTAGGTCCCACAGGAAACATTTCTCTCCTCCATCAAGACCTGCTGAGTTTCCTGGTTCTGGTATACAGTCCACAGGTGCTAGTCATTCTAAAAACGGAATACTTAGAGTCAAAATATGGTATCAACGCGCCCCAGGGTCCCAGATGCCCTCTCTAGTCTTTCCTGACTAGGGCAAAAGGGCTGATGCATTCTTCCTTTTAAAGCTGTGACTGCTGCTTCACAGTGATGGGGGGCAGAGAGGAGTGGGACATAAGCAGGCATCAAAGTAAGCCATGAGTTAGAAAATGCAAAAGTCCTAATTCACCTTTCACCTCTCTCTATCTTCGACATGTTCAAGTCTATGAACTTTCAAGGCTAAATTCCAAATTTTGCTGAGGATACAACTTTCCTAAAAATGTGCTCACAAAGGATATACTTACAACATAAAATCACAGTACTCTTTGACCAGCCATTTCACTAAAATCAGGGTTTCATATTTGTATTATAGGAACCTGATAATACAAAATACACCAACAGGAACTTCTTCCCTATGTGAAGTTACTGCTACACTCTGGCATTTGAATTTCAAGTTTTCATACATCTCCAATCTTCATTTGTCTTTATAGCTGCCTCACAGAGTAGATCACTTGCCCCAAAGTATTCTCAACCTTTTACAGATGATGTATCTGGGATTCAGGGAGAGAATATAAATTTTGTCAAGTTTCCACAGGGGTGCTATTGCAGTATACGACTATGGTGACATAAAGGAGGGAAGATTGCCTGGAGATCAACAAGACTTAGTTCAGTCACTGAGGGGACCCCAAGGGGCTGTTTCTTCAGCTTAAGAGAGCCTCAGGGAAACAGTATTAAGCTGAGACCTGTCCAGTTATTTATTTGTAACTCAAGGACGTGAGAACATAGATGTAGAAGAAAAGCACTTGCAACATTTGTATAGGAGTTTTGGACAGGGGACAGGGAAGGAATGGGATGGTTTGGGTTGTGTTGCAACTGTGCCCTTTGGTTGGGGAATAAGCTCTTCAGTTCATCACAGTTTCACTGTCCTTTATTGTGCACACCACCTACTCCCTCATCTGTGTGACCTGCTTGGCCTCTATAGACATATGAGCTAAGTAATCTCTGGACCCTTCCAGTTATCAAATTCTAAATTTTATCACACAGCTTTCCTTGTAAGATGTTATCCTTCATTAAGTATCCTTTGTGAGCTATCTGAATAGAGTTCAAAATAGAAGGAGATTCAGCAGAAAGGAAGAAGCAGGAATCTAATGATCTTAGTACATTGCTCTGGGAGTCAATGTATGATGTCCCAAGGGTCTTTTCTTTACTCTTCTTTACTGCTACCTAAGAGCTGATAGGGGGGACTTATAATTAATTCTCCCCTGGAAGTGAGAGATGAGGAAACTGACCATCTGGACCAGCACTGTCCCTGCCTCTACATTTTGTTCATTTCTGAGCAGCAGACTCAAGTAACCAGAACATACATGGGATTCTAGGGCTGAGGGGAATCCTGGCTATCGGTGATGCTGCTCCTGACCTCTGAACTTTCCATTAAAAGACTAGGTACCAGGAACATAGGACATGGCCATAGAATCTGAAATAAGGAAGAATCCTGAGAGGACAACCCAATCAATCCACTCATTAAAACAGTTGTGGATATATGGAGACTTATGGAGAGGAAGTAACTTGCAAGTGGGTAGCAACACAGAAAAACTCTAATCTTCCTTAGGGAATGGTTCCTCCCATGACTCTGTGTCCATTCTTGAGTCTGGATATCAGCCTTCATTGGCCAATAGAAAGATGACCCTCACTGATACTTGTCCCACATGTCAATAAAACCCACCTTTGTTCAGTTTCCACTTCTGATTTTTCACATGCATGCGCTTCCCATCATCTGTCATTTTAGGAACTGGGATAGGAAGCCTGTTGGCGTAATTGGGTTCTATTCCTCTTGTGTAGGACCCCAAAAAAAAACCCCAGAAATTCTTGGATATCTACACTCTTGTGTTTATTGCAACATTATTCACAGTAACCAAGATGTAAAATTGGCCTACATGTCTGTTTTGGATAAAGAAAATGTATACACAATGGAATACTATTCAACATAAAAAAGAAGGAAAGCTTGTTATTTCCAACAATATGCCTGGAGGTGGAAGACATTGTGTTAAATGAAATAAGCTAGTGACAGAAAGATAAATACTACATGATCTCACTCATGTGTGGACTCTAAGAAAGTTGACCTCAAATGAGTCAAAATTAGACTAATGGTCACCAGAGGCTATAGTGGTTAGGAAGAAACAGGAGACAGAACACATTGGTCAAATGACACATAAATATAGTTAAGTAGTTGGAATAAATTCAAGATATCAATTGCACAGCAATGCAACTATAGTGACAATACATTGTATTCTTTGTAAATGCAAAGAGTATTTGCACTACAAAAATGAGAACTATGTGAGGTGCAATGTATCTGATAGTTAGCTACATTTAACCATTCCACAATGTACATACACTTCAAAACACCACATTGAAATGGAAACAAAGCTTTTGTACATAAGGAGGGGAGGGGGCTTGTGGGGGGGAATGGGATAAAATGAAATAAAATTTATTTTTAAAAACACCATATTGTACACAATAAATACTTGTAACGTTATCTGTTCCTTTCGAGAAAATTTTTAAAATATTTTTTTAAAAGAAATGATTATTCTTCACTCCTACTGTCCAGGAGGAAAGAAAAAATCTAGTTGTTGGTAAAACCTGAAGGTGGGTAAGCATTGGCTAATAAAGGAAGGCCCAGACCTAGCCGGTTACATCAACTGTATGTGCCGACAAGTCCAGGATGGTAAATAATACTAAATTCCTGGAAGGAGACCAGCAGAAGACTGTCAGCAATTTCCAAACAATAGCAATAACATGTCTTACCATGCCTGCTTCCTCTCATTCTTTGTCATCTATCTCTGCTGGAAAAAAAAAAGAAACCCAAGGTACCAAGATTGCATGGTTTAAGGGTTAAGCTTCAGGCAAGAAACCAAAAAGTAAAAATTCCAGATATGATTACCATCAAGAGGAAAACTTCAGGTTACTCTAAACATACTTTGTGGTGCTAAAAACTATTATGTTCCATTTGAGACTGATTCAGAAGCATATTCATGGCTTTCTTATTGTGTAAACTCCAAGATAACTCCCTAAAAGGAGGGAAAAGAATTCCTTGCTTTGTGAGTTGTTTTCTTTTTTTTTTCAGTTCTGGGGATGGAATCCAGGGCTGTACACAAGCTAGGGAAGTGCTTTACCACTGAGCTACACCCCAACTTTGTGAAGTGTTGGAAAGGTCCTGCATGTCTGCTCCTCAGAGGTTTCTATACATGTTGTTCCCACTAGATGCACTGACAATGAGAGGGCAAGTAGCAATCAGTACAGAGTCCCAACCACAAGAAATTGGCTGCTAAAGCCCAAGAAGCTGCAAATGCAGAGTGGAAGGCCATCTGAGGGTCTACTAGCAAGATGGAAAGGCTCATAGTCATGTCAACCTCTGCATAGAAATGAAGCTGGTTTCCAGATATGTTCTCCTGCATCAGGAGTACCTGCAGGAGGACAATCTTGTACTGAATGAAGGTGTGCGTGGATAGGTCCATCTTGACTTGCTGAGCTAGGGTAGCCCAGTGCTGACTCACAGAAGCACATTTGTTCAGGGTGTTTTTGTCCAGCATTCCTGGGGAAAAAAAGAAGAAAGATGGACTTGAAATCCCAGAACTGGGCCAGGATTGGAGTTCTCTTAGAAATCCCTTCATCCACCCCAGCATACTTAGAATGTACTTGGAGAGGTGGACAGGCAGGTCACGGATAAAGTCACGGTATTTGCTAAACTCAGAAGACAGGTCTCTGACATCATGCAGGTCCATCAACAGATTGCAGAGATTATCCCCCAGCCTGGACATGCCTGCTTTTCTGGAAAATAGTTCATTCATCTCAAAAATACACTGGAGCGAACTCTTCCATTGTTCCTCTGTGAAGCCAGAGAAGGAGGCATGACTGAGTTATTTCTGCAGTAATTCTAGAGCCAGAACAAATCTGTATCAAAAGCTCTTCCCCAAAATAAAGCTCCTCTGGCAATATCCTGAGGCTACTGGACTCTTCTCATCTTTTCTGCCACATGGAAATAGAACTTCCTGACCCAAATATGCCAGCACTTTTCAGCCTTCTTAGTTCAAGGTGATACCTATAATAGCAAACTCTAAAATGGCATTGTGTCTGGAATTGTCTTGAAAATATCCCAGCAGAAAAAAAGTTAAATAATTTTAAAGAGGAAGGGCAGCCATGGTGCCACATGCCTGTAATCTCAGCTATTCGGGAAACTGAGGCAGGAGGATCACAAGATCACGGCCAGGCTGGACAATTTAGTGAGACCCTATCATAAAACAAAGTAAAGAAGGGCTAGGGATGTAGCTCAAGGGTAGAGTGCTTGCCTAGCACAAGGTCCTGGGTTCAATCCCTAATAACACACACACGAACACACACACATGCACACACATGCACACACATGCGCGCACACACTCACACACACACAGCCAGTGGGAGGAGGAAAGGGACAAATAAAATCAGATGGGTTGGTCTTGGGGTGTGGCCCAGTGAGAGAACACTTATTCGGCAAGAGTAGGGCTCTGCGTCTAAACCCCAGCACATCTTCCCCATCTCCCCTCGGACCAAATATGATGATTAAATGAGGGAAAGAATAACAAAGAAACCAAAAGACTATAGATGTTAAATGGATATTAATTTCCAAAATCCTTTATCTCCGGATGCTATTGCCTTGTCAGCCCCTCTACCTCCTTGGAGACTTCCCAATCTCATATACATAGAATCTTCCACTTACATAGGGTTGCATCCCCCCAAATCTATTGTAAGTAAAAAAATACTGTAAGTAAAAAATATATTTAATAACTCATAACCCTTTAGAAAATAAAAAAATTACAATTCAAATGATCATAAGTCTAAATGCTTCCTGACTTGGTTGGAGTTATATTCCAATATGCCCATTGTAAAGTCAAAAAAAACTTATAAGTCAAACCATCTAAATCAATGACCATCTATATTGGCTTTCTTGCCAAAAGCTGACTTACCATTACTAGTTCCTTCTCTCTCTGAATTTTCAAGTACTTTTATTTCCTAAGGATCTAGACAAAAGGAAGGATGTGGGCCTGGTTCTTGCCGTCCAATGAACATGTGACGTTTCTGACTTGGAATTGTAGTCTTTCTCAGGGAAATAAACCACATCAATGGAGTCATCACTGAGCCCTGCAGAATAAAAAACCAAGACAAGTTTGCCCTTCAAGCAAGTATTTGGAGGAAAATGAGATAGGGAGAAATTATTTTATTTTTTTCTTTCTTTTAAATACATTAAATCTTTCATGTCTGTAGTTTCTACTTCCTCAGATTCAACAAACCACAGATTGAAAATATTCAGAAAAATATTGCATCTGTCACAAATATGTGGGCCAGGGATTTAGCTCAGTGGTTCCACCACCTGCCTCAAAAGCGCAAGGTCCTGAGTTCGATCCCCAATACCAAAAAAAAAACCCATAAAGTGTTGGACAAACATGTACAGACTTTGTTGTTTCCAATGTTCTCTAAACAATACAGCATAAAGTCTACTTATATAATATTTGTATTGTATTAAGTATTATAACTTATCTAGAAATTATTTAAAGGATATGGGAGAGTTGCAAAGGCTTTATGCAAATACTGCACAATTTTACATCAGGAACATGAGCAACCACAGACTTTGCTATCCAAGGAAATTTTGGAGTCCATCCCCCAGAAGTACAGAAACAACTTTATACACAAAACAGACCAGAGAAGTTATGTCTATTTTTATTTGGGGCCTCTGAGTTTCTATGCAAAGATCTCCAAAAATCCCCTACAGACTTTACCAGCCAATCTACAATGCAAAATGTATTAGAGCTCTATATGCAAGGAGAGAATGAGATGAGCTTGGGACTGCTTCTCTGAAGCTCTCGCTGAATTTTTTTCAGTGATATGAATAACTGCCCTTGTATCACATTAGAAAATTTAACTTTTTTTTTTTTTTTTGAGACAGGGTCTTTCTAAGTTGCCCAGGCTGGGCTTAAATTTGCAACCTTTCTGCCTCAGCCTTCCAGAGTTCTGGGATTATAGGCATATGCCACCACACTAGGCAAAAACTTATCTTTTTAAGAGAAAAATCTCTCCTAGGAAAAGAGAAAGGTTACTGCAACCTATAACTGGACTTATACAACTGTAATATAAATAGCCAATTCCCAAAGCGTGTGATGCCTTTGAATGCAAAACACAGAAGCACCTCAGGTGTGTCTCCACAATATAACAAAGATGCTTGGGAGAGGGTACTTGCTTCCAACCCACTCCTAATACCAAGTCTCTGGCATCTCTTCTGGGGTTTTTTGTTTTGTTTTGTTTTGTTTTGCTTCCCTGAACCAGCTGGCCAAACACTTCCAAGATTCTCCCCTCGATACCCTGTACAAATGATGCTCAAAGTGAGGTCCCTTACCCAACAATACCAGTGACAACTGGAAATTTGTTAGAAATACATAATCTTAGACCCCACTTCAGACCCGTGACTTTGGAAGTTCTGGCAGAGAAGTTCAACAATCTATATTTTAACAGCCCTCCCAGAGACTGATACAAGTTACAGTTTGAGAACTATGCCCCGGACTAATTTGGACCTTTGCTACCTCCAGCTTTGAATAAACTCTACTTTGAGGTTTGATTTTATGCATAAGGCAAAGAGCATGATGGAATGGGTATTTGATAAATCCTAAGTTTTGACCCCTTGGCCTGGTTTCTGTGCAGGGCAGCTGAGAAAAGTAAAACAATTTATCATCTTCCCTTTTCTATCTCTCCCAAGTGCAGTCTAATTCCTAAGGCAGCAAAGAAAGAACACCGGGATTTAGAGGGCAGTGGCAGGGACCAGCCATTTCTGGGTCTAAAGTGAGCAGAAATCTATTTTAAATCCTCACAGTAAAAAGTTCTATTTCCTTCGCTTGTGTGATTCTACAGTTTTCTAGAAGGAAGTCACACTCAGCAATTTCTTCTTTGGTAAACAGGATCGAGTATCAGGACAAAGTTGAAACAACCCTGTCTTGTATTCTGCACGGTCTCCATCTGAGTCTCTTTACAGGCTCCTGCAGCCTTACTTCCTGGTCTCAGGGGCCCTCCTGTCTCACAATCTGTGGCCTTGTTTACCTGTGATATTGTTCCACTTTCTCTGAAACAGAGCTCTGATCACATCAGCAGCAGTGAGCAGTAATTTGGGGTCGCACATTTGCAGCAGCAGGAGAGTGTAATTTGCCTTAGTCCGGTGGGTGCTGGCACGAAACCAGTACAAGATCTCCTTCATCTCTTGTTCCATATTATCCGACATTTGATTCGAGGAGAACTTCACAACTTTCCCCTCCTTCCAGTTTAGGTTAATCCGAGACCTGTTATAGATGAAATCCTTTCCCTGGGTGGTCTGCAGGATATTTTGGAAATAGTGTAACAAATACAAGCTATTTAACTGCTGTAGAACGCTAACTAGAAACTTCCTCTGCAATATACCATTGATCCTTTGGAACCACTCTTTAGTAGAAAAGATCTTCCTTGCTAAAATACTCGTTTCCACTTCTGGCACACGGGAATCAAATCATTTCCCCTCTCACATTGAAAGTAGGGGGCATTTTATGAGCCTCGGTTCCATGTTTTCTATGATCCTGAGATAATCAGTTCATTTTATTCTTCTTGCCCCTTACCAACACCACCAAAAACCAGAAGAAGCACAGGGGAAACAAATAAATACCCCACTTGAGAGTTTTGTCTTATAAACATCTCCTGGAGAAAAAGTAAATGGCTGCACTACCAGATGGAAAACTTATCTGTTCCAGAAACTGCCGGTAGAAGCCTGGCTTTTTGTACTGACCTCCTTGGAAACATGACTTTACCGTAAATCTCCTAAACCTATCATTGCAAAATGTGGAGGCAGTTGCCATATATTCTGAAAGAGTTCGTCATCTCATTTCTAGAGCAAGAATGCTGTTAAATCAAATTAAAGAAATAAATAGTCTCTCTTTCAAAGGAAAAAAATATATTCTGAAGCTTGATGTTGAATTTCAATTGTTGGTATTGATGCCCTTTAAATATTCATGAATATAAACATAAACTTCTTACGTTTATAAATGTTTGGTTATAAAAAGCTATCTCGTTCCGGGGCCCGCCCCGCTGCTTCCTGTAGGGTCTAGTCGCGGGGTCTGGAAAGGTGGTTTTCGTCGCCATGGCAGCTACCTTGATCCTCTCGTTGGCCGGCCGTGTCGGGGCAGCAGTCGCGAGACTTGGGTTCGTGACTCGGGGGATGGTAGGCCCAGGACCTACCGGTCGCGAGCCCGACCCCGATTCTGACTGGGAGCCAGAGGAGCGGGAGCTGCAGGAGTTGGAAAGGTATCGGCTCCTTCGCAGGCCCTCAGCCTGAAGCAACGCGCCGCGTTCCGGCGCTCCGGCCCGCGCCCCCTTGTCGCCGAGTGTCCTGCCTCCGGGTCCGCAGCAGCCCTACTGTATTCTCTTTTTACGTGTTGTGAGGGCCGCAGGGCTGGTGTTCAATTTCCTAATGATTTCAGGTCCCTTTGCTAGTGACGTTATTTCATCATCCGTTTAGAGAGTTCGACTTGCTTACAGGCAGTTATTGTTTTAGGTGTTCAGATTCTGGGGCGGTGTACACAGCACTCTAAACTGCTAAACATGGCTCAGTTGTCTTTGCGGACTGAGAAGTCGACTGGGCTGTCTGAGATTTAGCCCGAGACTCTTCAACACCCATATTGCTTACACGCATGGCTTCTGCCACTGGTTCTCTCTCTTAGCACCCTGAAACGGCAGAAGAAAGCAATCTGACTCCAGAAAATCTGGAGCCAAATGGAGCCGCCAGGTCCCCCTCCCAGAACCCTGACTCGGGAAGCCATGGACCAGATCCGGATCTCACTAAATTGCCCAGGCTGGGCTCAAACTTGCATTCCTCCTGCCTCAACCTCCCAGAATGCTAGGATTACAGAGGGGCACCAACAGGTATTTATACAAGGAATTTGCAGATTCCTGGTCAGTTCCCAGGTTGGCTGAAGGCTTTGATGTCCGCACCGATGTTATTCAGAGGTTTTTAAAAAGTAAATTTGTACCCACTGTGAAGCAGAAACTGAAGCAGGATCAAAAAGTCCTGAAAAAGCCTGGGCTTGCCCACTTGGTGCGGCAGCTGCAGGGCTCTGAAGATAGCACAAAGCCCCTTGGTGCAGGCCATGCTGTATCGGAGTCTTTCCTGGAAGCCTCATCCAGAGGTCAGAGCCACAGCACAGCTCTGACAATACAAGAGCCCAGCACTCAGAGTAGAGATTCCCTATGGAGACAGAAGGGAAGCAACAAAGGAAGCCAGGGCCTGGGGAAGCGGAGCTTTGTGCCTTCACTGTAGCCTCGGATCATCAGAGAAAGCCAAAGTCCTCCATCAGTGATTGTGTGGGCACCAGAAACACTGACAGTAATTTCTTGCCAAGTGACAAGAAGCTGGAAGAGTGGAAGGCGGATGAGCTAGGTGACCAGAACTTTAACAGCAAAGTAGTGCAGAAGGGGCAGGAGTTCTTTGACAGCAGTGGGAACTTCCTGTACAGAATTTGAACCAGAGCATGGCTTATGAAAATACCATATGAAGCACAGCTGGGCAAATAGGGAGCTGCCAGGATTGCTGCCTTTTTCTCCTTTTTTTTTTTTTTTTTTTGAGACAAGGTCTCACTGTGTAGCCCAGGCTGGCCTTGAACTCAGGGGAATCCTCCTGCTTCAGCCTCCTGAGTGCTGGGATTACAGACATCCAGCTAGGATTTCTGCATGTTTTAGTCACTTTGACATAGAAGGGGGCCGGGGATTTAGCTCAGTGGTTCCGGCGCCTGCTTCACAAGCGCAAGGCCCTGAGTTCGATCTCCAGTACCAAAAAAAAAAAGACATAGAAGGATGTGATGAGCCTGGGATGTGAGCTACTTGGGTAGAGTGAAGCTTGTGGGAGCACTGCCCCCACCCTGACCCCTGTGGCCCTTCAGTACTCCTCACCCTTCTGCTTGAGCTCTCTGTGTCGAACACCAGTGTTGTATGTGCTGATTTGATGTCTGTGATACTTGTAATATGTTTTGGAAGAAATGAAGAGTTTGCCTTCTGACCTCATTTTCTTCTTGATCAATGAACACTAAGAGTTCTGGAACTGCGTAATCAATTGGTTGTTTTCCTTGTGTGCAAAAATAAAGTAAAATGTAGCGGTCAAAAAAAAAAAAGCTATCTCAATGATCTTAAATATATTTACATTCAGTTTCATAAGTAATTACCAAATAAAATGACAGATTATTAACATAAATTTAATTTACTTAATTCCTTCAGAATGTTAACCAGAAACCGGCAGAAAACCACTCTTTAGTATAAAAAAATTTCTCTTGGCTTGAAAATACACGGGGGGGAGGGGGGGATCAATTTCCAGGTTCAATCACATGCCCACCCACGTGCCTGAGAGGTGGTACAGCTTAACAGTGAAGAGTGTTGGCTCTGAGCCAGACTCCTGGGTTTGGACCCAAGCTCAACTACTTACTAGCTCTGTGAACACAGGCAGGTTATTTAATCCTTTAAGCTTCAATTTCCCCTCTGCAAAGCAGAGACAACAATCATTCCTACTTCTTAGTTCTTATGAGGATTAAATGCACTTAGAAGATTGCCTGATGCATATGTAACCCTCAGGATATGCTATTATCTTATTGGCATCATCATTATTATGGCTGTCCCCTGTTCTCCTTGGGGGATACAGTCCAAGATCCCTATGGATGCCTAAAACTATGGACTGCACCAAACCCTATATATACTGTTTTTCCTACACATACATACCCATGATAAAGTTTAATTTATGTATTATACACACAGTAAGAGATTTACAACAATAATGAATAATAAAGTAGTACAATTATAACAATATAGTAGAATAAATTATGTAAATATTCTCTCTCTCAGAATATCTTATTGATTGTACTCACCCTTCTTCTGATGATGATGTTACTGATGATTCAGACCAAGATTGACTGAGGATAACTGGAACTTCAGAAAACTAAATTGTAGATAAGGATGAATGTCTGTATTGTCATTGCAATTACTGATTCTGGCAAACAATTGAAGTCCAGTACAATGTGTGTAAGTGTGCATATACTACACTGAGGTGCATATAAAGAGGTAATATATGTTTGGGTAATTTTTAATAGAAAAATGACATGAAAATGTAAATCTTACCTGTTTTCTGAGATCTTTACCCTTCAGCTCTGGCTTGTGACATTCAGGAGTGATGAACTGGGCCATTAGACCCAAATCCATAAACAAGTATACATGGCAACTTAGGGAGACGCAAACAGAAAGTTTACTTCTGCTTTCAGTTATGACCCAGAGGGAGTTAAGGGTCTCATTGGGCTTCTTAAAATATTCAATAGCAAATGTAACTGAATGCTAATAATTGGTGAATGTGGATGAAGAAGAGTATCTAGTATCTGAGTGTTCATTGTTCTATTCTTTCAGCTTTGTATGGTTTTGATATTTTTCAAAACAAAAAATAAAACTGGAAAAAAGTTACTGTATCAAATCTGACAATAGTCATCCAGGCCCACTGAGATACACTTCCTACTTCAGACAAGACTACCTTCAAACTGACTCCATTACTTGAGAGACAAATAATCTTAAGCTACCTGGCCTCCCTGAGCCTCAGTTTCTCCTCCTTACTTATGCAAATGGAAGAAATTAAGACAGATAATGAAAATCATACCTATCTTCTCAGATTAGAGAACATCTAGGAGACCAGTTGTTTCTGCTGTTATTATTGTTATCATTGGTATTATGCTAGATGAAACCAACAAGTGTGCATTAATGTATGGATTGCTAGCATTCATCTCAAAAGACCAAGCACAGTTAGAGAAAAGCAGTAAAAATCATCACTGGGTGTGGGCTGGGAATACCAGTCACATGCTGGGGTTAGGAATGAAATCAATTCTAGAAGCTCACCCTTTCTGAGAAAAGTGTAAAAAGACAGAGATAATTAACATCTAATTCATCTAATTCACCAAAGGAGGTGGCAGAAGAGGGAAGCTCAAAACCAGAATGCATAAGATGGGAAGAGCTTTGAGCTAAAATAGCTTCTTTTTTTTTTAATGGTACTGGGAATCGAACTCAGGCTCTTGTGCTTGTGAGGCAGGCAGCAGCACCACTGAGCTAAATCCCTGGCCCTTAAATAGCTTCTTTTTAAAGGTTCAAATCTATTAGGATTTTGATCTGTGAGACTGGCTCACAATCACCCAACTCAGTCTTCATTTCACATCTGAGCGCTGACTGTGGCTCCACAGAGGGGCACGCACTTGGGAGAGAGAGACTTGGCTCAAATCTCATCTTTGCTCCTTACTGGCTATGTCGCCTGGACAGCCCACTCAGTCCTCTCTAAACTCCAATTTCCTAATCTGTAGAAGACACATGATCTCTACCCTGCAGGATGATGGAGTATGAGGACTTCTGCTCTCTCACCTCATCTCACTTTGCACTACTGCATAATGCTACACACACACACACACATGTGCACACACAAACACATGCACATTCATGCACAGCTTTTTACCTGACTCCATCAGAACTCAATAGGTAGAATTTCAGACATTAGTCTCAGTTCATTCTCCATCCTGCCCCCTGAAACACATCCATGTACCCACATGATTCTCCTCAAACAGTGAGGGATGATGATTTGTTGTCACCATACTCAACAGCTCTTTTTCTAAACAGCTCCTTGAAGAAGAGACACAGGTAAACTCCTGAGAACAGAGGGATGAAGGATGCCCTGCAGCCAGCAAGTGAGAGAGAAAAAGAAAGCAGCTCCTTGCTATCCTCCTTGCTGCCTCTCTGAATCTTGCCTCCTGAAGGGGCTAAACCATGTGCCTGGTTGAGGTATGAGAGTGAAGCCATTTGGGATCTGGTGTTCCAAAGGAGGATGTGGCTTCAGAGGAGAGCAGGACAAGATGGCCAGAGAGATTAGGCCATTTCGGGGAAGTCACATATGGGTACATAAAGAGGCAGGCAAGCAAATATATATCATCTAGGTGAGGGACAGGAGTCCAGGGGTGAAAAAAATCTCTCCAGGAAGGACTTTGGGGATGAGACATAGTTCTGGAGAGGTCTCAAATATACAGGCTACAAGCAGGCCAAAGGATTCATGCCAGTCCTTGATTTCCTTTCTGCTCCTTTCA